AGTAAATAAAATAAAAAAGTGGTTTCTTGACGATTATACAAAGGTTTTTTGTTTTTGTTTTTTAGACAAAGTCTCACTATGTAGTCCTCGGTAGAGTGCCGTTGCATCACAGCTCACAGTAACCTTACACTTTTGAGCTTAAGCGATTCTCTTGCCTTAGCCTCCCAAGTGATTATACAAAGGTTGATGGTAGCAGGGCCTGAACGAAGACCCAGGTAACCTGAACTTCAGCCTAGAGAGCTTGTCACAACAGTACCAGGTTCTTCAGGCCTGACTGCACAGATACACGGCCAAGACAAACGTTGCGCCAGCGAGCACCTCTCTTCTCAGTCTTTTAGAGCCCATCTCCTTCCTCCCCTCGACCCTCCCACTACCTACCGCTTTTCTATGAAGCAGCAGTTGCAGCATCGGAATAGCATAAGCGGCCGTCTTCCCGGAGCCCGTGCGGGCTCGAGCCAGGAGGTCCTTCCCCTCCAGAGCCAGTGGAATGGCCTTTTCTTGGATCAGCGTAGGTCGCGACCATCCCAGGTCTGTGACAGCCTAGGAGAGAAGAGCGCAGCTCATAAGGCGCATAAGGTGGCAACGCGCCCTGCGGGCCTGCAAGCCGCCTCCCAGCCTTCCCTTGTACCTGCAGGATGCGGTGGTCGAGACCCATGTGTTCAAAGCCCAAATATTCAGGGTCCGCCATGGTGCCGCTCTGTGATGAACAACGCACACGCGCTGCAGGAAGAACACGTACTACGCGAGGGGCGGGTCAAAATAGCAACCAATCAGCTTCGGGGAGTCGTCACTTCCCGGAAATGCTGTCACTTAGCCCTCCTGCGGTGCTTCGCCTAGGACAGTGTGTAGGGGGAAACCGAGAAGCTAGCTGTCCAGTCGAAACCTTAAGGCAGCAGAGCACTCTGCGAGTTCCTCGGGCTTTGCCCGAAGCAGCCGAAGATCTGGTTCTCAAGACCTGCAAGACAAGCCTCAGTCGGCGCCGAAAGGGTTAGCAGGGCCTTATCCCCTAGATTAGGGTCAGGCCTCCAGCCGAGCGGGGCTGGCGATGAGAGAGCAAGTGATGCGAGGCGCACCAGCTTTTTGTAAAGCTGCGGAGAAAGGCTGGCCGTCGCAAGAATGAACAGCACAGAGCTTGGCAGCAACTGCTTGATATAGAGAAAGGATGTGTGGAGTTCCCAAACCTGGCTGACCGGTTACAGATGGTTACAATTCTGTGGGTCCCAAGACTGACAGAGGTCTCACAGGTCTTGTTCCAGTGTCAGACTTTTGACATACAGAACTATTAAAATAATAAATGTGGGGGGAGGGTTGGGAGAGGTTGTGTGTTTGAGGCTAATTGTCACGCTAAGTAGAGTGCCCTGGAGTCATCGAACTTGAGTTTAAGCAATCCACCAGCCTCAGCCTCCCAGAGTGCTAGGATTACAAGCGTGAGCCACCATGCCCAGCCTAACTTACGTTGTTTTACTACATTGTGATTTGTTACAGCAGCAATGGAAAACTAATGCACGTGGGAATTAAGAATCCTTATCACAAAGTCTTTAGAAGTGTTAGGGGGAAGCTGAAGAGAGGTCAGAGTGGTGCCAAGTGAGGACTCAAACACAGTTACTGGACTTCGACGGTGGAGGAAAGGGGGCAGAGCCAAGCTGGAAGAGGCAAGGAAAAAGACCCTCATGACTATATTAGTCCCACCCAGATGATCCTGGATAATCTCAACCACTTCTTCACCTCACCCCTCCGCATTTGTTTTTTGAAACAAGATCTCACTGATGCTCCAGGCTGAGTGCAGTGGCCTGATGATAGCTAACGGCAGCCTTGAATTCCTAGGGATCACCCCACCCTGCCTCAACCTCCTGAGTAGTGAGACTAGAGCCACGCTCAGCTGATTTTTAAAAATTTTTTAAAGACAGGGCCTAGCTTTGTTGACCAGGCTGGTCTCTAACTCCTGGTCTCAAGCAATCCTCATATCTTGTCCTCCCAAAGTGCTGGTTTTACCAGGTAAGCCACCATGCTCAGCCAATCTCCCTATTTTAAAGTTGCCTGATTAGTAACCTTAATTCCCTTTTGTCATCTTAAGTAACATATTCACAGATTTCAGGAATTAGAAAAAGTACATCTTTGGGGAGTCATTATTCTGCCTATCCTGTGTTTGGTACCAGCCAAACACAAAGCTAGTAAGACTGGACCTTAGTTGCCCAGGTGTCTACCACAGGCTAACAAACTACTGGGGTGATTCTATGCATCCTGTCTGAGATGTGCAGCCCAGCAATGAATACCAGAAACTATCAACTGGCTGTTAGGTTGAGAAACAGAGTAGTTCATGCACCAACAGGTAGTCAGGCCAGGACCAAATGATGAAGATAGACACTCCTAGTCCCATTAAAAACTGCAGAAGTGAGCTGGGATGATAGAGGATGTTAAGAATGAGTGCCCCAGCCAAGTGCAGTGGCTCACACCTGTAATCTTAGCACTTTGGGAAGCTGAGGTGAGTGGATTGCTTGCTCTCTGGAGTTCAAGACCAGCCTGAGCAAGAATGAAACCAGGTCTCTACTAAAAATAGAAACTAGCCAGATGTCATCGCAGACATCTGTAGTCTCAGCTACTCAGGAGGCTCAGGCCAGAGGATTGCTTGAGCCCCCTATGAGATATGATGCCATGGCTCGGCGCCTATGGCTCAACCGGCTAAGGCGCCAGCCACGTACACCTAAGGTGGCGGGTTCGAATCCCCAGCCTGGACCCGCCAAACAACAATGACGGCTGCAAC